TTACCAGGGAGTACTCCAAATGAATACTTGGATGGATTGATTTTCATGTTGTGCTTCTTTAGAACATCAAAAGATTGCTTGATGTGGTCTATATGTTGCTCTACAACTAAGGACTTTACCAGCATGTCGTTGATGTAGACTTCCATGGATTTTTCGAGTTGATAAGCGAACATATGATTCACTAGCCTTTGATATGTTCTAGGATTTTTGAGTCAGAAAGACACGACCGTGTCACAGAATGTACCTCGCTCCGTCATGAAAGTTGTTTTCTATCGGTCAATTGTGTGCATCAAAATCTGATTGTAATTGAAAATGGCATCTATAAAGCTTCGAAGCTCATATCTAGTTATCGAGTACCATCACGTCGATATATAGAAGAGGAAAATTGTCCTTTGTATATGCCTTGTTCAAGTCTATGAAATTGATGTAAACTCTCCACTTACCATTCTTCTTTTTCACCACGACGACATTAGCGAGTTAGTTTGGGTAGTAGACTTCTCGTATAGAATTCTGCACCTTTTTCATTGATGATGTGGTTTCATTCATGCCAGAATTTTTGTTGCTTCTGTTTGATCGAAATGTATTAGGGATCAACATTTAATTTGTGCATCATTATCTTTGGGTCAACTTCAGTCTTGTCTATATGAGACCAAACAAAATAATCATGGTGTTCTATGAAAATGTTAAAGTTGTTGCGTGAGCTCTGACTCTAGCCTTGCCCCTACTTGAGTTTTGTGTTCTGAAAAGTAGGGGTAGATCTGTACTTTATCTAGCTTTTCCACATCTGGATGGTCTGGGATGGCGGGTTGAAATTGCTATAAAAGACATTGATTAGACGGCGTGAACTATGGTAGCAATCTCTATAATCTCTTTGGTCACGAAGAATCTCCCTTATTCTCCATTTGGTAGGAAAATGGAGTATTTGATGAAATGTCGATGGTACAACCTTGATTTCATAAATCTAGGGCTTTTCTTAGATAACATTATATGCTGATAGGCTATCTATTACAAGAGATCTGGTGCGGACGTTAACTCCTACATGAATAAGTAACACAATCTAACCTAAAGTATTCTTTTGTTTACCACTGAAACTTGTTAGCAACACAATCTCACCTAAAGTATTCTATTGTTTACAATTTGTTCAACAAAAGTATTAGTTAGTTGTGTGAATGACGATATAGAAATATTAGGAAGGTTTGTATACCACTTTAGGGTTGCCCCTACAACATTGGAGTCAAACCCTTTACACATGCAAGCCTCACGAAGGTCTTTTGGTATGGTAAGGTAAACATTCTCTATTTGTATTGAGCTATATGATCGTCCAGATCAACTGTCCCATCATAAAGCTTTATGTCAGGGAAGCTAAACTTTTTGGACATTTCCATCACAACAATTTCGTCAACAAATGGGGAGTTGGTGAAACCATTGGTTGCACTCTTTTTGATTAGTGTAGACATCTCGTGGATACATTGAATCATGACTTCAATCGTCGCTAACTTTCGTACGAACTCTGGATCCTGTCCATTAGTGGGCTATGGTTTTACCTTTTCTGACCCTCCGTTCGGTGGTGTGGTAAATTAGACGTTCGAACCGATGGTTCTAAGCCCATTTTGGTCAAGAGGAGGCATCGACCTGAATTGAGTTTGGGAACGTGACGAATATACTAAAGTCGAATCGGATACCAATGATTCAACTCTTTCTTGAATGTCTCAATTCTCTACATGGGCTTTTGGCATTCTCCGCATCTAGCCTTTCCAATTTTTGTGAATTTTGCTTTGTCAACTCATGAGTTGGGCTAGTTGTGTAGTTACTTAGCTAGACGGAGCAGTAGGTTGAAAGTGAGTGGAGACAGGATGGACAGCACTTTGTTGAACAATTGTCAGATGGACTGGCTAGATCGAATGGGCTAGATGGATGGTTGGTGGCCAAATGGTGGTTAGATAGACGGGTCTGGCCAGTAGTTTATTGGTTAACAGAGCGGTGTTATGATTTGAGATGTCCCCTGTTGCATTGTTGCTTCCACCTCTTGACGAATAATTCGTTCTGCTTCTTGATGAGCCGTGTCATCTAAAGCATAATCAATAAAGCCATCCGTATGGTGGATTTCGGAAGTTCTCGACATGATGATGGTGATTGATAAATAATAATGGTAATAACTCCGTATGTAAAAATGCTTAGGGCCCCACGATTTGCGCCAAATTATAGACGATAGATTCCTCAATTGAGAAAATCGGATTGATCAGGCCACCGGGAATCCTTCGAACTCAAAGAAAGTAGAACGAAGAAGAAGGACCACAAAAGATCTTCACAAGATGTCAGTGTGGTGCTCATTGAAGACTCTCTGACAGTTGAGTCAGTAAAGCCTGCAAAAAATTATATGAATGCTAGATGAAAAAGCAATAAGAAATAACTTAGAGTAGAATGAGATACCTAAACGTTTGACTGACCACGAAATTTATAGGAGTAGGATAACCGTTTAGGTGGGATTGTCGAGGACCCTCCGAGATTTTATGGTTTGTTGGAGCTAAATTCAATTAAATCTATTCGGTTGAGATACCTAAGCTGTTTACAGATAACTCCAACTTGATCTAATCAAATCATTGTGTGATTTATGTTGAGGATAAATTATCGGAGCTTTCAAATCAACACATGAGTCTTAGATCATGCATTCAGACCAATAGGCATAACAAGTTGGACCAAAGAAGGGCGATTGAACCGTCTATGGGCCTTATTTATGACTTGAGCCGCTTGAGCTAGTGGAATAATTTTAGGGAAGACTACATAACTACAACATTATAAAAACACATTTCTTAAATAACAAACTCATTGAAATATTTCAAAAATCAGGTGGTAAATATATTTATTATATATTAAACTATAATATAATTTACATTAATTATTTCCACTCCATACCACCTCACTCACCCCATCCTATCACCCCATTACAACACCTTCCCTCCACCTCTCCATCGGAGATAGCCATCGCTCTGGCATTCACTCTGGTGACTGCTCAGGCAGCAGCTCCCGTGACCGTTCCAACAAACTGCTGTGGCGAACGCTCCGGTGATTGCTCCGGCAAACTGCTCTGGTGACTATTTCACCGATTGTTTCGGCTCCAGTGATAGAAAAATCTCTAAAAATTGTGATGGTTGTAGTGGTGCATTGTAGTTATCAGACTTGCAACCGTGTTATCTGTGACCATACATGTGTTATATATGACCAATTCACTGACTTATGTTATCTGAGAATCACCATGACCAATTTGCCTTTGGTGTGACTAGTTGTTACCAAATTTGTATTTAGTATGACTGTTTGTGACCAGATCAATCTCAAGTTATAACCAGTCACAATCAATACAAAATTGGTCACAAACAGTCACAACCAAATCTTAAACAGAAAAAATCATATCTCCAACCACCACAACAGATCTGTTCGGAAAAATAATAACAACCACCACTACTAACATTAACTTAAATTGATGAGCATAAGTACTATATTCACCTCAAATCCACAACAGTCATCAATAACTTCCACCAATCCTTCAAAAAATACCAACCAACACAACCACACTTCTCTCGTGAAACTCTGGTGAGAGAAGTAGTAGGTGGTCGAGATCTAGAGGATGGGTGGGAAAGAAGTCGTAGATCTAATTTTTGGGTAAGAGAGTGTCGAACTAATTTTTGGGATAAGAAATAAAGTGTGTGGGTTAAAAATTGATACAAGATCTGGGGTAAATTGATACGGGGTCTGTGACCAAGTTTGTATTCAATGTGACTGTTTGTGATGAGATCAATCTCAAGTCATAACCGGTCACAATCAACACAAAATAGGTCATAAACAGTCACAACCAGATCTCGAACAGAAAAAATCAAATCTCCAACCACCACATCAGATCTGTTCGGAAAAATAATAACCACCACCACTACTAACATCTTTAACTCAAATCCACAACAACAATCATCACTACTTTAACTCCCATCAACACCTTCAAAAAACACCAATCAATTGATTACTAAATATTTCTCAATAAAGATTTCCCAGATTCTTCTTCAGTTATTTCTCGAAAAGATGAGGAAGATTATGAGAAAGAAGCCATATATCTGATTGTTCTTCACCATATGGTCCCCATATTCACATTCGGTTTTCTTTTCCTCACAGACTGGCTCTGCTTTAGGTGACCCATGTACTACATTGACACTTTCCCAAAATCTAAGCTCATCAGCTTTCAAAGAAGAGATTTGTGCGAAACTTCAATGAGAGAAGTGGTAGGTGGTCAGAATCTAAAGGGTGGGGGTGGGGAAGAAGCCACCGATGAGATTTTTGTGTAAGAGAGTGTTGATCAATTTTTGGGGAAGAGAAAGAGTGTGTGTGGGTTAGAAAATGAATCGGGGTATGTGGTAAAAGAAGTGCTCATGGTAGAGTGGGTGGGTGTAATTAATTAATTTCAAAATTAGTATTTATCACCTGACTATTAAAATTTAATCTTTCACCCACTTGTTTTAGAGATGTAATCTTGAAAAGAAACGATCTAGGTAACTTTCCCATAATTTTATACTACAGTATAAGATGTGGAAAGGGAAAAGTTGGGACCAATTAAAGCAACTTCAATTTAATTTATAAAATAAATTAATTTTTTTATTTTATTTTAATTAATAAAAAATTAAAAACTCTTCAAATATTTTCATATAACAATATTAAATTATTATTTACTACTTAAAAATTATGTACAAATTATGCGATAATATATAAAATATATTATATTATTATAAAAAATCGAATCAAGTTGTTATTAGATCGATTGCCCTATATTCCTATTTGTTTCATTTAGATGATCGAATTCGCATATTGATCAAGTTATTGAACCGAGATACTAAATCCATCACCCATTAATTCACTGAATTCAGATTAAAATTCAATCCAGTAACAGCACTCATTAGAAGGTGAATCTCTAGCTCTTTAAAATGGAATATTTTCAAATTCGCCCCAAAAATTCACTCTTTCTAAATTATTATAGCCCCCATGAATTTCCCAGTCTCCCCAGCAAAGGGTTCAATTTCTTCCTTCCAGCACAGATCTCATTGCGTCTCACTCTGTTCAAGAATTTGATCCCTTCAAATTCTGCTTCAAATAAAGTGTCTCGTAGAAAATCCAAGAAATGTCATCAGTGCGGCATCAAAGGACAGGCCATAATTTTTCAACAGGCGCATACCCAGCCCGATTCCTGCAAAATTATCAGAAACCCGCCACCAATTTCCTCACCCGCACGAACTTAATCCTTCTCCTCGCTCTCTTGATAATCCTCGGCGTTCTTATTCCATGGATTCAAGTCCCTGAAGGGTTCTTGATGTTCTATTCGAATCCCAACTCTAAGTGGCGGGACTACACATTGTCGGATGCAGCAGCCCGGGTGGCCCAGAATAATACTTTGATTGTGTGTGCAGTGAGTGAAGCTTACTTGCCTTTTCTAAATAACTGGTTGATTAGCATTGCGAGGCAGAAGCAGCATGAGAAGGTTTTGGTGATTGCAGAGGACTATGTCACGCTTTACAAGGTTAATGAGCGGTGGCCGGGTCACGCAGTTCTGGTGCCACCGGCGTTGGAGGCTGCCGCGGCCCACAAGTTTGGGTCTCAGGTATATTTATGGATTTTATGCGATTTGGCATCTGGGATCTTGTTAATTCATTTGTTTTTTGTTATCTTCTTGAAATGATTACTGAGCCAATCCTTTTAAGAGTAATCCAAGTTTTATGCTATGATTATAATGATTTGGGATTTTACTTTTTAACATGTTTGAGAGTACAAATCTTTGAATCCACGCTTTATACTGATCGCATTGCAAGATTGAGCTTTTTAGGATTTGATACCATATCGAGTGCTGGGCTCCATAGCCGCCCAAGACATTATGTGTTGATCATTATTTTCATAGTAAGAACGACTACAAGAATGGTAAGAATGTCGCAATCTGTGCATTGAAGATTTACTACACACTGTTTAACTTTCATTGATTTGGACAAATGGATTTGGTTTCTTTTGGCTTAATTAAATTAATTTGGACATTTCTTTGATGAGCTTCTGAATTTAATTCAAGCTCGTCTCTTACATTTCATATAATCTGCTTTCGAATTAGCTTTGCTCCCATTGATTGCTAATGGAATATTTGAATGCGTAGTAGCTCGGTCAGCCACTATGTGTTTCTTCTTTTATGTGTTTGGTTTTTGAGTAGTCTTTGATCCTCAAATTTATCTTTAGCGTCGGTTTATATAATTTCATCTGGAAAAAGTTAGGAAAAACAAAAAAACACCTACTCTGAGCATCCATATGTGTTGATCTAAGGAAAAAATATGTTGCCATTTCAAGGTCTGAGTTTCCTACCACGGAGTTTGGCCTTTCTGATTTTACATCAGAAGAGTGAATGCTTTATAAATTGGCGAACTCTCTATTTCAAACGATTTTATTAGGGATTTATCTTGCAGTGCGTTCTATGTATTATGTTAATAATATATTTATCTCCTCTTTTTTATTTCCATATTTCTAGTAGCTAAAACTTTCATTTGAAAATTTTATTCATCCCTTGTAGATAATCCTGGCTATTCTCATGTTGCAGGGCTTCTTCAACTTTACAGCCAGAAGGCCCAGACACCTTCTGAATATTTTGGAACTGGGCTACAATGTTATGTACAATGATGTTGATATGGTTTGGCTGGCAGATCCATTTCCATATTTGCTAGGCAAGCATGATGTGTATTTCATGGACGACATGGCTTTTGTAAGTATACATACCAAAGTTGAATATAGATTTTAATTCATGAATATCAACGAGCTATTGTTGCTTGTTGGACTGAAACTGTTACTTCCAGAACTGGATTCTCAATATCTTTTTTACTGGATACTGATTTGGGGAATATCTACGTTTCTCTTCATAATTGAACAAATGGATTTTTTATGCTGTTGTTGATTAGTCTACTGTTTCTTTTCTGAGTGAGATCATTTTCATTTTAAGATAAATCCATATTTTGTTAAAAGATAAAGTAGATGAAGTAAGCCAGTATACAAGAGGTTCACAATGAATTCAAATACCAAAATTGGCCAAAAGATTGATTTCGTTTAAGATTTATGCAATCGTCAAGGAAATGATAACTTTGGAAAAAGAATTGGAAGAACAAAAAGGTACTCTGTAGTCTAAAGCTTCCGATTATCTGAGTCATAGTTGGGTGCAGTGGCATACATAACTATTGGAACACCTCATTTAAAAGTTTAAGTTGTCAGAGGGGATACATTTATTTATATAAATTTAGTCTTCTACGTGCCCCTTTACATATAAGCTAGATTTATTTATCTGAAGCTTATCATACGGTGGCTGTGAGACTTGAAAATAGGACCTATGCTTGCTTTTCATACCACCATGTTATATCATGTTGTATCATCCCATCTAAAAGCTTGAGTTTAGAGCACATTTATTTAAGTTAAGCTTTTCAACAATAACAATCTGGAACAATATCATCAAAATTGGGGGACTTTTTGAGGAAATAGAATAAGTTCCGAGTAATGTAAAGACTGATAGTGGCCTTGTGATTTCGGTAATAACGATTAGGGATGCTTCGATCAGAAACTAGAACGAAATCCAAGTAATGTAAAGTCTGATGCTGATCTTTATGTTGCATGGCAGTCATAACTTCTTCAACAAGCATAACAAAAGCTGCTGATTGCATCAGATTTTGTTATCTGACATAGCATATAGTTTTGCTTACTCAAGGTTTAATTCAATTGTAATTCTGTTATCACTCAAACTATTGTCCTTTGCTTGGATTTGCACTAGTGACTATTAATGACTTAGGAACTGCTCTCTTTTTTGCCCCCTGAAACTGCCAGGTGAAACCTCTGAATCACTCTCATTCTTTGCCACCTCCAGGAAAAAAGGGCCGGCCTTATATCTGTAGCTGCATGATTTTTTTGCGCCCCACCGATGGTGCAAAATTAATTATGAAGAAATGGATTGAAGAACTTCAGGCCGAGCCTTGGTCTAAAGCAAAGAAAGCCAACGACCAGCCTGGATTTAATTGGGCATTAATGAAAACTGCTGGACAGGTATATATTATATGCCACTTCCTATTGCTACCTGTATTTTCCTGTATAACTCAGTCATCAATATCCTTAGAACTCGTGTTTGTTGTATATGTAGAAAGGCCAGTTATTGTCATCCCCTGCAAGGTTTTCCTTCAGAAATTTATTTAATCATTGAGATGGTTTTTTGTGAATTTGTTGTATAATCATTATGCATTCATCCTCGACATTCATTTTTTTTCAATATCATTTCAGGTGGACTTGTATCTGCTCCCTCAGGCAGCATTTCCCACCGGTGGTTTATACTTCAGGAACAAGACATGGGTAAAAGAAACCAAGGGAATGCATGTTATTATACACAATAACTACATTGTTGGTTTTGAGAAGAAGATAAAGAGATTTCGTGATTATGGTCTCTGGTTGGTGGATGATCATGCCTCTGAATCCCCACTTGGCACATTGTAATGGTTCAGGGGCTTGTCCTGAAATTGAAAGTCGGAGGAGCTTGTAATCTCTTTCACAGATAAAAAATGTTCTTTCCTGACGGTGTCCAACTGCTGCTTAGGTCAATTCTGCGTCCGCACACTCAGAAATCGTTTGTAGGATATAGCAAAAGCACGTAAAATTGTGATTCCTTGAATTGATGCATTCACAAGTAGATAAAGAATCCCGTAGGGATATTTTTATCAGTGTAATAATTTTCTTATACTTTATTTTTTTGGTTCTGGGATCATATTATCAGAACTCATAAGCACATTTACCAATTGTCAGATTCGTTTTGTACGCCCGAAAGATCATAATCATTTCTTTAGACATTAATTTTACATGTTCCTGAGTTTCGCCACTGGTTTTTTAAGTTAATAATTTTACATATTCCTGAATTTTGCCATAATTGCACTTTCTTGAGCGTGTAGATATTGTAATAGCTTTTTCAAGTTATAGTTTTTCCATTTTAGTCATATTCAGATTTCAGAGTTGTCACATTTAATTTTAAGAGACAGGTATTAGTAGCTTAAAGAGTTTCTGTGGCTGGTTCTGAAGCATGGTTATGATACAATAGCTCTACTGGGTTTCTTAGGTATCGGCTTCAGGATCCTCTATCCAATGTTAGGGATAATCCCAGCGTCTTTCTTTAGTAAGGTAGACTGACTGAACGGTGTTAAAAGAAACAAAAATTAGTCAATCTTATTCATTTTTCTAAACATGTCATGATGGTCAACTCCTAAGAGATGAGCATTTGCTCATTTTATGTCTTGAATTTTGCCCATTTTTCTCCTTACTTTTCAACATGTTTGGCCTTGCTTAAAATAAGTCTTATTAACTGCTTTCTTTGGGATCTGCTCATTCATTTTGTGCAATTTTCTTCCATTTTGTGTCTTGCCCAGAGGATTTGTGTATTTCTCACTCAGCCTTTCAACATGTTTGATCGTGCTTAAAAGTGATTTTTTAATTGCTTTTCTTGAAAGCATGCATGATATTAAAAGTGGTAAAATTGGATCCAACCCGCCAATATATTGCTACGATAAGTTATCCATTACTGCCTCCATGGGGCTTCTTGCGTACCAACATCAGGATCCTCTCCCCATTGTTAGGTACCATCCCTGGCGTCTTGTTTAGTAACGGTGTTAAAGGAACAAAAAATAAATAAAATCTTATCCATTTTTCATTTTTGAAAACACATCTTAATGTCAACTCTAAGAGATGAGCATTTGCTCATTTGAGTGTTTCTTGAAGTGCTTTCTTTGGCATCAGTTCAATTTTGTGTTTCTTCCAATTTGTGTCTTGGCAAAGATTTGCGTGTTTGTCACTCTGCCTTTCAACATATATGATCGTGCTTAAAAGTGAATTTATAATTATTTTTCTTCAAAGAATGCATGATATTAGTAAAATTAAGAAATTACTTTATTAAGTATAGTCAAGTGTTTTCTTCATCTTCTGAAAATGCAAATGGTATCGTAGAATAAATAGCCCATGCATTTGTCGAGAAGTTTGACAAAAAGTGGATTGAGCCCAACAAATAAATTCACATATTTTTCTTTTATCCTTTTAATATCGTAAAATCTAATATTTGTAACCATGAAAATGATAACTCTACATTTTCACATAAAATAATTAAAATTAAAAACAAAAAATGGAAATAAAAAAAGAGATGTTCTTTTATCTTCTTCCAAATTTTTTTTCCCACCCCCAACTTGCCGCCCCTACGTCCCTACTACGAGAATATTGTAGCGGGCGAGTTTCATCATATAATTTGCAGAAAGGAAATTAAAAATCCCTCTCTTTCTCTCTCTCTTCCTAGTTAATGTAGAGAGGAGTTGAGAGGTAATTAGAATTTTTTTTCCAATTTATGATTAAATTAAGCCCTTTTTTGAATCCCATTCTTGACCAAAAAATAAATACATTTTGAATAGTGTATTGATGGAAAATATGTAACTAAAAAATAAAGAAAAATTTTGAATTTGTGTATAATATTATTTTAATAAAGAATGTGTAGTTGAAATGAGGTCAAATCACTATTGGAGAATGTATTTTGATGAAAATAATGGAGCTCAAACAAGGGCTAAATCCTATTAACACTTTTGCAATCACATTTAGGCTTGGACGTTAGGAGGATCGGTCCGAGTATTTAAATACCCGAAACCATCCATTATACTTTCATGTATCTCGTAAATGGAACCATTCGAATCCTTGTAATTATTGGAACTAAATCCAAATCTAAATCGTCGATTCTAATTTGGGTTCGATTCTACCTATAACATTCTTTATATACATTTAATAAATATTTTCATATAGGGCATTTAGTACTTATATTTAACATGCTACTATTCGACAATATTTCTGTAGCTGAGGAAATTCAGCTAATAAATTTTCAAAAAGCAAAACAGTGAACACTACAAGCTATGAAAAGAGGAGAAAACTAAAACATCAAAAATTAAATTACATTTGAGAAGAAATTATTTTTCTTAATAAATCTTAAGGTTGCACAAAAAAACCTGCGAAACTGCAAATTGAACCCAAACCATTGGTTTGAGTCCATGT